ACAACCACAGAATAGCCTAAGATGTCCATCAAGTCATCCGTGCCTGGCTGTGAGATTTTGATTGGCTCTCTTTGCCTGAAATTTGATAAACTTGATTTCCACCCTGCTTCTCCTTTGTCAATGAGTTTTAAAAAAATCACTTACTTTGCAGGAATGTTTCGAGGTTTTGTCTTCTCTGCGGTCTATGAATTAAAAAAAAAAGAAGAAGAAAAAAAAGAAAGAAGGAAAAGTGAGAGAACAGTTAGCAAACCTTAGCAAGAGTAACCTTTTGGAAAGTGGTAGGTGGTAAAAGAGACCATCTATTTCAGAGAACAGGAAATCATCCTAGTGATGGATCCAGCCATCAATTAAGCTGAATTCAAGGCTTAATAGAAGAAACAGTATCTATTTCATTAAGCTGTATCTATCTATCTGTCTGTCTGTCTGTCTGTCTGTCTGTCTGTCTGTCTGTCTGTCTGTCTGTCTGTCTAGTTAATCTTCCTTCCTTCCTTCTCTCTCTCTCATCTCTCTATTTATCCATACACACACACACATACAGATACATATACATGTATATACAGTTTGTATATATATATGCATATACGATATACGATATATGTGTATATAGTATATATATGCATGTATGTAGATAGGTAGGTACGTAGGAAGAAAGGAAGAAATGTGTATATATATATGTATATGTATGGATGGACCGATGACGAGGTCCAGGAGTCGTGCGCAAAAACTGGCCAGTGCTATAAAAAAGAGACTCCCATCGACCTGTTTTAAGCCCTGATGATGTCGGTAGTGCTGACCGACAAAAGCTTGGCATTGGATTAAACGTTTTTAGTTTAAATTTTATCCTGGTGTTCGTTTTTATTTGTTTTTGTAGTATGTATGTATATATATGTGTGTGTGTGTGTATGTGTGTGTGTGTATATAGAGATATGATTGTGTGTGTATATATGTATATATATAAATGATTTATATGAATAAGTCTGAATCCAAGGAGAATTGGATGCAAAAGGATTTTTTTGATTGTTCTGTTAGATCCGCAAAGGGCAACATGCTGATCCAAACCAATTCACTTGGTTTGCAANGGGGGGGGGGGGGGAAACCAGGAAGTCAAGATTTCAGACGGAGCTTTTCCAACTTAAATTACTATTATCCTTGTCATCTTTTCTACTACCTTCTCTTATTGGTATGATTATATGTACACTGAGAGCTTATGTAGTAGAGACAAATTCCTTGTATGTCCAAACACAGTTGGCCAATAAAGTATTCTATTCTATTCTATTCTATTCTATTCTATTCTATTCTATTCTATTCTATTCTATTCTATTCTATTCTATTCTATTCCTCTACTCTACATTCTATTCTATTCTATTCTATTCTATTCTATTCTATTCTATTCTATTCTATTCTATTCTATTCCATTCCATTCCATTCCATTCCATTCCATTCCATTCCTCTACTCTACATTCTATTCTATTCTATTCTATTCTATTCTATTCTATTCTATTCTATTCTATTCTATTCTATTCTATTCTATTCTATTCCATTCCATTCCATTCCATTCCATTCCATTCCATTCCATTCCTCTACTCTACTCTACATTCTATTCTATTCTATTCTATTCTATTCTATTCTATTCTATTCTATTCTATTCTATTCTATTCTATTCTATTCTATTCTATTCCTCTACTCTACATTCTATTATATTCCATTCTATTCCTCTACTCTACATTCTATTCTATTCTATTCTATTCTATTCTATTCTATTCTATTCTATTCTATTCTATTCTATTCTATTCTTTTCTATTCTATTCCATTCCATTCCATTCCATTCTATTCTATTCTGTTCCTACTCTATACTGAAGGTAGGACAATCTCCATGGAAGTCTGGGCCTTACTTCCAAGAATATCATTTGAGACACAAATGACAAGGGTCAAATTGTCACACCAAACTCTCTGGAGACGTTTATAATGTTGGGAAAACAGAAGAGAAGAGGATGACCAACATCAAAATGGATTGACTCAATTACAGTAGCGATAGGAAGAACTCATTGGGGACAAATTGTCCTGGAGAAAATCTACTTGTGCAATCACTAAGAGCCAACACCAATTTGATGGCACATAATCAATCAATCAATCAATCAATCAATCAATCAATCAATCAATCACCGCTCCCAAATTTTAGAAATAGAGCACAGCAAGGAATGCTTTTAAACGTGTGCATAGCAGTTTCCTAGCTCTTCTTCTAGGACTCCCTACAACCTAATTGCACAATCAGTTCAGTTGCACAATCAACCAGATGTTTATACTGGATTTGGCACCTCTGTCTACTTATCGAGTCCTTTCCAAGGGCCTGGGATAGGCAGATGTGCATGTTTATTACTGTTATTCAGCAGCTAATCACAGGTATCCCATCTAATATCATTGATATCCGTGGGTGCCACATATTAATTTATGCAAACCAGGCAAGATTGGGGCATGCCATCCACGTGAGAGTCATAAACTAGGGTTATTCTTGTTGACAAGTGTTTTTACCAGCCATCGCCACTCTTTTTATTGCAACAACCACAGAATAGCCTAAGATGCCCATCAAGTCATCCGTGCCTGGCTGTGGGATTTTGATTGGCTCTCTTTGCCTGAAATTTGATAAACTTGATTTCCACCCTGCTTCTCCTTTGTCAATGAGTTTTAAAAAAATCACTTACTTTGCAGGAATGTTTCGAGGTTTTGTCTTCTCTGCGGTCTATGAATTAAAAAAAAAAGAAGAAAAAAAAGAAAGAAGGAAAAGTGAGAGAACAGTTAGCAAACCTTAGCAAGAGTAACCTTTTGGAAAGTGGTAGGTGGTAAAAGGGACCATCTATTTCAGAGAACAGGAAATCATCCTAGTGATGGATCCAGCCATCAATTAAGCTGAATTCAAGGCTTAATAGAAGAAACAGTATCTATTTCATTAAGCTGTATCTATCTGTCTGTCTGTCTGTCTGTCTGTCTGTCTGTCTGTCTAGTTAATCTTCCTTCCTTCCTTCTCTCTCTCTCATCTCTCTATTTATCCATACACACACACACACACACATACAGATACATATACATGTATATACAGTTTGTATATATATATGCATATACGATATACGATATATGTGTATATAGTATATATATGCATGTATGTAGATAGGTAGGTAGGTACGTAGGAAGAAAGAAAGGAAGAAATATGTATATGGATGGATGGACCGATGACGAGGTCCAGGAGTCGTGCGCAAAAACTGGCCAGTGCTATAAAAAAGAGACTCCCATCGACCTGTTTTAAGCCCTGATGATGTCGGTAGTGCTGACCGACAAAAGCTTGGCATTGGATTAAACGTTTTTAGTTTAAATTTTATCCTGGTGTTCGTTTTTATTTGTTTTTGTAGTATGTATGTATATATATATGTGTGTGTGTGTGTATGTGTGTGTGTGTATATAGAGATATGATTGTGTGTGTATATATGTATATATATAAATGATTTATATGAATAAGTCTGAATCCAAGGAGAATTGGATGCAAAAGGATTTTTTTGATTGTTCTGTTAGATCCGCAAAGGGCAACATGCTGATCCAAACCAATTCACTTGGTTTGCAATTTCCACAGCAATGAAATTAATATTAACTTCACTCTTGTTGGCCTTAAACAAGATCAGGAAAACTATAAATATCAGGAGAGCAGGACAGCTTCCCCCCCACCCCACCCCCAGGCTGTTTTTATTAGCCGGCAGATTAAAAAAAGGGCACAGGATGGCCAAATATTCAGATCAGTTTCTTCCTGTTAAACCCTTCTAAGAAAACCACACTCCGAATTTTCTAAATGACGAACAATCCAGGGCTTTCCGCGCTGCTTTAGTTATCGAACCTGGTTTCAGCTTTGGTTTTTTTTTTTATTATTTAAAATAAAACATTATTATTATTATTGCTGGGATCCATTGATCTGTATACAGTCCATTTATCATTCATGAAAAGACCTGGTGATCTTCACAGTATATTAGAAGAAACAACTCGGATCATCTGTCAGCGGCCTTCTTATTTCTGTTTCTCTGTACAGGGATTTTCATCTCCTTCCATTCTTCTTGAATTAAAATGTTGCTAAGCAACACCGCTGGGGGCACGGATGGCGCAAAGGCGAGACTCTATCAAACTGTTTAAGCGGCTGGAGATTTCCATGTTGATGCCTTTCATGCATATATATACAGAGAGAGAGAGAGAGAGAGAGAGGAGAGGAGAGGAGAGGAGAGGAGAGACTCTCTTTAATGGCATCTTCTGCAAAACGTTCGGAATCCAAATTTTCCACCTGGGCGACGTGCTTCTCATCAGTGTTTCTGAGTGTTTCCTATTCGTCTCTGGCTTTGTTAACAGAGAGCACCCAGGCTGTCCACAAAGATTGCAGGAAGGGCTGAGAGGGAAACAAGAGTCTGCCTCTGCAGAAAACTGGGGGGGGGGGGGGGGGGGGGGGGGGGGAGTGAAAGGCAGACCTTCCTTAGCACTGCTAAGACTGTGCCACCAGATGGAGGCCCTTAGCCTTGCGTCCCCAAAGGATCTCATTTGAAGCCTCTTTCATAGAGATAAAGATAGAGATAAAGACAGCTAGATGATAGATATAGCTAGATGACTGATAGCTAGCTAGCTAGTTAGATAGCTAGACAGACAGACAGACAGACAGACAGACAGACAGACAGACAGACAGACAGACCTATCTATCTATCTATCTATCTATCTATCTATCTATCTATCTATCTATCTATCTATCTATCTATCTATCTATCTATCTATCTATCTATCTATCTATCTATCTATCTATCTATCTACACTGTAGATAGATAGAAAGATAGATAGATAGATAGCTAGATAGCTAGATAGCTAGACAGACGGACGGACAGACAGACAGATAGATATTGTAGCTAGTCATTGGAATGTAGGGATTGCCTTGGTGCCTCTATTTCAGCCTTCTTTTGGTTAATCTGGTTAATGTGTGTCCTTACTGGACTTGGCATCTTCCAAATATCCTAAACGGAAACCTTTATGTTCCGCCTGCTAAATAGGAACAAAGAATTCTATACGGGGATAATCTACTGGTTTTTACAATGTCTAATTTTAGCAAAGGATGAGCGTATTTACAGACTTTTCAAGTTGGAGATATTTAGGACCACTAGCCACTCTCCTTGTTCCAGAGTAACTAAAATCCCTGCTTACGGTCACCCATAACCCCCAAATCATACATCTTTGAGAAGTCATTGTCACTAATGTTCAGATAGAGGGGCAATATTGCTTCGATGAATGAGTTCTTGGTTCCAATCCTGGTTGACCCCTTTCCCATCAAAGCTCCTGAAGCCTGGATGATGATTAACTGCTTCACCCATCCCAAGTCTTCTTCTGGCCCTCCACTCTCAGCTTCCAAGCCTGACCTCTGCGGATTCTTTCTTTGGCTGATATTTTGTGCCATTTCTGTCGGCTTCTCAAGATGAAGCATAGCTTATCCCGACTCCTGGTTCTAATGTGAAACCTTTTCAAAGAAGGAGTAGATAAGCTCATCTGAAGATTATAAGGGAACAACCCTAGTGGGAACATATTTCTGAAGACCCTGGCGTTTGGCAGCTGTGTTTGTGCGTCTGTTATACTGCTGGCCAGAAAAAAGAGCCACGAGTTAAAATCATCTTCTGTTATCAGCAAACTCTGGCGCTCTAGAGTTGACTCTCACTAGTTGCCCTTAGATTCTCCTTTATGATCAAGGTCTACTTTATTGAACTTCTCTGGGGAATTCAGAGCAGTCCTGCCTCTCTTTCTTTCTCTCAATCAATGGAGAATTCTCCAGTGAATAAAGGGGAGAAAAAGTGACATTGCTGAGTGAGAGATGAAGAGAGAGAGCTTTGCTGGCTGTTATCGACATAAAAAGCTTTGGTTATAACATTCATATGAAGGGATAGGGACTTTTTGTTTTGTTTCTGGTTTTATTTTTTATTTTTTATTTAAAGGCAATTGCATATTTATCTCAGGGGTTGCCACAAAGAAGAGGGAGTCAAGCTATTCTCCAAAGCACCTGAGGGCAGGACAAGAAGCAACGGATGGAAACTAATGAAGGAGAGACCTTGTGTTGGGTGTTCCAACACTGCAGGCTTTTAAGAAGAGATTGGACAACCATAGCTGTGGTCTACGTGGGGAATCTAAACCTCTGGGTCTTAAATTCAGCTAATTCTGGTTTTTAGGAAAACCACAAGGTTTGTAAACTTTTGCCTCCCCCCAAATTTCCAGGCTGAACTTTGCCATGCTCAGAAAGAATTTCTGGGAGCCAATCAACACATTTCTTCAGACAATTCAGTCCCTTGCTAGCAAAGCCTCATTTCGGAAGGGAAAAAAAGGTCCTTCCCTTTTAAAAAGAATTTATTCTATTTACAGCAACGACATCATTATCCTTAAGACTTCAATGAAGCTCAATTGCAAGTAAACAGCTCTGCATTCAAATCCTCTATCAAAGTTATTGATAGTTGGTTTCACCCTCATCCATCTGATTTGCCCGCTATTGCCTTAAGGAGCTGACCTTGTTCTCCTTGTGTGTTCACTATTGATGTCACAACTGAGAAATGGCTTCTTAGCGCTTCTACTGATAACACAATAAATGGGTCGTGTGTGTCTGTTGTCTGGAAGGTAAACAGCTTTTTTTTTTTTTGAGAGAGAGAGAGAGAGAGAGAGAGGAGCTAAATAGGAGTGAAGAGGTAGCTAAACAGGAAAGGATATGTTATTGAAAGGAGAAATTTAGACGGTTTTCTTTTTCAAAGAAGGATGGTCTTAATTGCCAAAGAGCTAACTTTTAAGCAGGATTAAACACACACACACATACACACACATACACACAATTGTTGGCTGCAGAGATTCCCTCCTCTAAGAATTTAAAGAGAAGCAGCACTTAACCTCCCATTTTCAAAGCCTCCCGGTGTTTAAATAATTCTTGTTTTGCTTGTTTGTTTGTTTGCAATTGTCCAACACAAACAGAGGAACGATAAATAACCACCCCAAGTAGATGGCTAATATGCAGGAGGTTTAATGTAATATGATCTGATAGCCACATGTGTAAAAGAGGATCATGTAATCAAAATGGAGGGAGAGAGAAGAGGAGCAGTGACTTTTTTTTTAAAAAAAAAAAAATTCACTCCCACCCTCCATTCTGCCAAATATGCAGAAAACAATGAAGTGAACCAAGTGAGGGGTATCGAAGTTTCTGTGGTCCAACAGACATCACCATCCAGCAATGTGCTTTAAATTAAGCACAGACATTTCAAAGGTTAAGAGGGCTGTTTCTTAAGCAGAAAGCAGAACAAAGAAGTGGGGAGAAGGAAGGAAAATATGGGAAGCCTTTATTGCTTAAAACACTGGATTTTGCTACACTTAACTGGGGGAAAAAACAACAACTTCTTAACCCAGCCAATAAAATGTGCAAGACACGGGTTGAGTTATTCCCGCAAAAGAATGTTGCAAGGCAGTGTTTTTGCCCCATGGGAGATGGACCTAAGAAAGGTACTGGCTGCGTTGATACAACATCAACGCAGCGTCCACCAGATGTGCTAAGGTCCCCAAGTTGAGTAGAAGGGACACATCGTGAACTTAACACACGTGAAAGTATCCATCCGATTGCTGCTGAAGTGTTGTTCACTTTCCAAGTATTTAATTTTTCATAAATCAGCTTTGCAAACTTATGGAGGGGGTGGCCGGAATGCAGAATGTACCCATGGAGGCGAGGTTGAAATTGGCGAAGGAGTGGAGATGCTCATGTTACAAGCTCCCTTGACCCTGCCATCTTGTCTGTTTTGACACCTCCCAAAGTGTAAAAAGTCTTTTCACGGGTTCGGGAGAACACATGCTGGAAATTTGAGAAGGTGAGTCAGGATGAAAAAGGGCAAACTGGTAATGCTAATGGGATTGTCTACCATTTTTCTGCCTTTTCCTGGATTTGCAGTGTATGTGTGTAGGACATTTCTGCTTATGCCCTCTATTTAGCATGATATTCTGGGTTTTCCTATGCAAAATGGAAGGGTGCCATTGGGTTTTGACAGTTATGTTGCAAGGAGCTCCTGAAGCCACACAAAAATAGTCTGGCTGGCTATCTCTGGCTCTGAGACCACATCTTGCACATAAGGGGCCATGCAAAATCCAGAACTGATTTCATAACAGCTCCCTTTGATGAGTTGTAAGAGGAACAGAGCATTAACCAGTGGGAGAAGTTTGTCACCTAGAAAGGCAAGGATAACCAAGGGACTCTTGGATAACGTAGAGTCCAGAAGACCTACCATGAAGGAAAATGCAAACTTAAGTGTATTTATTTTGGCAGAAATAACAATCTTAATATGGGATTATTGTAGTAGATGCTGATGTCAGGAAAGCTACATTTGGAGCACTGAAAAGCAAAGCTTGGAAGTCTGGGATTTCTTAAAAAGCTTACCTGTTCATTATCGTCTTCATCACTGCTAAGTTTCAGGTCATCTTCAAGCATTCTTTTCAGGGCAAAGAGAAATGCAAAGCAGGCATTAGAACAGAGACTATAGACTGGACTAGAATAATAACTTTATTGTCACTTTAAATGTACACTAATCGGCATACATTAAAATAAGATTTCATTGCATACAGTTCTCAAAGGATAACCACCTCCAATATACACTGCATAAACGTGACAAATAAATAAATACAATTATGCATATACCCACATGCACACACATATGTGGCCCAGAGAAACAACACAGTCTAGTTCGGATGTATATATATACATGGCGAGAAAAACGAATCTTGGGAGTTGACCAGACCGATCGCAAAGGAAAGGAACAAAACTGTTGCAGAATCTAGTAGTCCTGTTAGAAATACTTCTGAAACAGACTGTGAAGTGGGGATGTGGGGTCTCTAACATGCTACACCCCTCATTGATGTGGCAATATCACTAAGTCATAAATCATAAATCATTATGATTCATTATGAAGTATTGTATTTTATCGTTTATGATGAACGTACTTCTATATTGTTTATGATCATGATTTATCACTATTACTTGTATGTACACTGAGAGCTTATGCACCAAAGACAAATTCCTTGTGGGTCCAACCACACTTGGCCAATAAAGAATTCTAATTCTAATAAATAACTGGAGACATCAAACTGACCTCAACCAATGGAAGAAAATATTAAAATATCAAGAATTACAAATTAGGAAGACAATAATCCAACTGTAATGGGAGCTCTTGGTGTAAATATTCATCAAATATTTAGAAATTGTAAACTTACTAGACTGGACAGGACTAAATTGGCTAAAGACTGCCCTCTTTGTATCAGTATGTATTTTGTGGAGACGCTGCCGTGAAATAAGATCTTTGGCTACGTATTGAATCACTGACATCAACGTCCAATCAATTAGATGGTGGTATTCATTTGGGTCACAACAACAGCTCTCCAGTTCCTCAGTGTTAAACCTCTCTGTTGACTTGTGAAGTGTGCAAGGCAGAACGTTGTGAGGAGGCTCAGCTGCTACAGAACATCAAGACCTGAAACAGCTGAGCATTAACCTCCGAATCAACGGGATGCTTGTGTCAAGAATGAGCCTGTAAACAGGGGCTGAGATGGGAAATCCCTTTTTCCTCCTCTTATTAATTGTTCACCATTCTGGATGTCGGGCCTGGAAAAAAATCAGGTGCTCGAAACCTGTTTATTTAATTGCCATCTTTGTTGCTTCAGTGGGAGAGGTCGCCTGTGAAGTTCACAGAACCACGATTGACCCCTGATTGTTATCAGGTGGTAGATTACACTCTTCTCAAAGGCCAAGATGCCTTCAAGATTCGCTTACAAAAACAACATGTAATTTGCAGGCTACATGGAAATGAAAATAAACATTGCTGCCATTCAAAAACCTTCCTTCCTTCCTTCCTTCCTCCCTCCCTCCCTCCCTTCCTCTCTCCCTCCTTCCTTTCCTCCTCCCCTCCCCCCCTCCCTCCCTCCCTCCCTCCCTCCCTCCCTCCCTCCCTCCCT